TGGGGACTCCGGTTCTGTATTTCAAGACTTATCCCGACCCACGTCGAGCTCCAGCCGCCGGCGAAGATGCCGTAGAAGAACGCGAAGGCGCACAGAGCTCCGAAGTCGGCCGCGAAACCCCACGCAAAGAATACCGCGACGGCAGCACCTAGAGATAGGAGAAAGAGCGTCACCGAAACGTGATACCGGTCGACTAGATACCCCGTGCAGATGGCGCCGATTACTGTTGCTGCATTGTATAGCGATAGCATGCCTGCCGCATCCAGCGATGAAGCCCCGAACCGTTGAGCGAATGCTAAGCCACGTGTTAGCAGGTTGAGATAATCGCACGGTTATGGACCACACACTTGGAAGATGGATGCCCGGCAAGAAGTTTCCGAGCGCCTGGAAGATGTTGCCAGCTTGAAGAATCGCAAATATCGGGGTAATAAGAAAACCTAGAGTGCCAAGTTCAGACGTGTTGGTGACGCGTGGCTTGACGCGCTCTCTCAGGAAGTAAATCGACGGTATGGATAGAGTGGCGACCGCGATGAACCACGCTATCAGCATAGTGCGATGCCCATACTTCTCGAGGCCCCAGGTCATCAGAACGCTAACCACACTGTCAATTATAGAGCCCTCGAAACATGAGTCTGAATATTCACGTACGGAATGATGATTCCGCCCATGCCCGCACCGCTCTCCTGAATGCCGAAGGCAAGGCCCTTGCGCTCAATGAACCACTCATTGAGGAATTGAATAGTCACCGTGTTTACAACGCTGGTGCCAAGCCCATATAACACTCCCTGTGTCAGAAGCAGATGCCAAACCTTAGAGGCAAATGCAGATGCGAGCACAGCTAGGCATGTCGTGATTGACCCTACGATGAGGGCCGTGCGTCTATATGACTGATATCGTTGCAGGATGATAAAATATGGCGGCGACGACAAGTACAGAATACCCTATGAGCACGTGTCAGAAGTAATAGCAGTGGCCTGTTTGACCTTGAACATTGTCTTTGACGTACTAATGCAGTCGTACCAACTGCCGGCAATCCTTCGGGGCTGTCGGAAAAGGGGGGGTGGGAAGAGTAGTAGCTCTGGAAAATGCCGTATGAAAAGGGGAACCCCTGTGTATCGAGCATGGCGGATTAGATGCAAATCTTGGGTCCTACACGCCCGTCACACTCACCCATGTCAGCGCGATCATTAGAAAGCATCCAACCCAGAGGAACAACCATGCATGCTTGCCGCGATCTGGCTCCGGGTATGCAAGGGCAGGCTCTCTTTGCCCACCTTCTCGGAAATGCCCAAGCTCAACTGATTCCGGGTCTGGTTCTGCGACCAGCATTCGTCCGTGAGATTCCATTGCTCAGCCGCGTTTGGTATACCCAAATCACAAAATTTCAGGGTCAAAAAAGAAATTTACAATATCATCATTCAAAATAGCAGTGTGGTTAAGTCTTCTGTCGTCAGCACCAATATGTCGTCTCCATATGCCCGAACTAAACCATATCTTTCATTTACTATAGGTTCTAAGCCCTTGGCAGACCCTCTTTGCTAAGATGGAGTCCGTAATCGGATATCTACCCCAGGAAGATGTACGTAGTGGGTCTCTTCATCGTTATGAGTTGGAGTTCCAGACTTCCAAAATTTATGCAGTGTGTCTTCTTATAAACAAGTGGTATGCTCACGCAGTTATGTTATATATCCTATGATCTTACAGACTCCTCAGAATATTCACACATCTTCAACTTTACTTCATCAAATTGTTGATCTGTTGAATAAACTTTCCTTCCAGTCGTTCTGTAATGCTAGTTCAAGTGATAACATTGCATCCAGTCTCGAAGCCAGGCCGACGGGTTTCATAATGAACAGGTTTGGTAGCATCGTGGACAAATTGCTGGCAGCATGAACCTCGATTAGGGTTCCAGCTAGGGCGCTGTTCCTTGTATAGGAACGACTTCAAGCTTTGTTAAATTGTATGATGGGCCAACTCCTTTTGATGAAAGTTATCTGCCCTCAGCTCACTTTCATAGGTAATTGCATGTTCTTGTGGCTCTATGCCATGCATCTTTGGACAGGTCTGTGGATGTAAATGACGTAGCCCATACATATGTCTGGGGTGACCTTCGTAGCATCTCAGGGGCTCGCCTATTTTACCTCAAAGGGGTACAGTACTGTAGTAAAGACCAAAATTTCTATTGGGTGATTATTCATCGTGTAGAACATTGTGGGTATTATGTAACAACGTCTCGAGGCGGAGCAGTTCATATTGGAAAGCTAACAACCAAGAAAGTTAGCATGAACAACAATATATATCTATGCAGGGAGCAGCGTTCTCGTACCTTTTATTGAATTATTCCTGTAGGATCAATAGACGTTCAAGAATTAGTGCCACAGTAGGATTAGGTGATGTAAATGAGTATTCCACTCGCTTCCTTGTCATAGGATTAGACCTTCTATGTGCTGGGTAGGTACCGGATCGCCTAGACTGCGGGAGTACCATGATCCACACTTGTGCCACGAGATGATTTTCTGAAGCTAGTAGCTAAATATATAACTTGATTAGTATTCACAGAGAATAGATTGAGTAGCGTGTTGTTGAAGGTCCGTGCAACTCAAGGAACAGCATGTTCATTTTACTTGGGTGTAAATGATGAGGCTATAACGCTCGCGCCTTGTCTCTTGGTATCCTAACCAAGACAACCTAGAATATTCTAGTTCTGTGTGTTTTACGATGATGTAACTAACCAGATAATCGGGAGGAGGATGGTGGGGGTGATCCGGTAGTTGGCCATCTCTATTGTGCTCGAAGGATTCCTAGATCAACGAAGGCGCAGTCGTGTTAGTGGAGTCTTAACGGAATTTAAAGCACCTTAATTTAGGGCTGTCGAGTATTTCTAGGCCGCTTGGCGTGACTTTTCAAATTCGGTTCCAATGTAGGCAAGGATGTAAAGTAGGATTCTTGAGTTCATCTACGCCGGGATGAGACTCCTTCATTAGGACCAGACGAGTTAATCGTAGATCTGAAAGTTCACACGTATACATAGTAGAACACGTTAATACCCCAGATTCCAATCTCGGTAGCCCATTTCCCAAGTCAACATACGGTAACAAAAAGATAATATTAAATAGCATCCCGTTCCGTCAGTTTTTAGCTCTAGCCGCGATATTTACTGATGTTTCCCCCTTTTATTCCTTATAGACCCTCTCAATGCTCACGTGCCATAGCATAAGGGAGTCTAGGCTAAGATAATGCCCATGTTTTGTTACCTTCAACGTTTAACTCTATTCTGTCTTTGCCTACTAAGCCTCAGCCCAACAGGCGTGCAAGCTACGTTGACTCCACCCAGAATAACATATCCTGGACAACAACAAATATTTCATTATCTCGATACCGTCGAAATCGCATATGAATCGAGCTTCTCGAGTCCGTGGATATACATATGGTGTGAAGTGGATGGCATGCCTCAAGGTGGGTCGGCTCCGTGGGCTCGAACGCATTGGTTGATGAACTCTCAAGGAACAGTATGATCCATTGGGTTTATTGTTGTGGTTCTTGTCCATCAATAGTCCCTCAGTACTGACTTGAAAATAGAGAAAAGCAGAACCAAGGTAGCCGGTTTCAACGCATCGGCACCTATACAGTTAACATTTCAAGATGGAGCCCCATGCTGGTTTGAGCTGCGCTCCAGCGAGAACAAGACCCATGGGGTGAATAGCCCATCTTTCGACTACGTGGCAGTAGAACGCAGTTCTACCGACTCATATGACCACGCAGATTCAGCGTTGGCGATGTTGAACATAGATACCCCACCAGCGGCGCCTCAAACTCCCACAAATTCAACGACTGTAAACTGTCTCATGGCTAAATCGGCCATAGAACCCGAGACACCCTCTGGTAATGATATGTCGATTGTGCATATAGGGATTGGAGTAGGAGCAGCGGTTGCGGGTATCCTGTTAGGAGCATTGATTAGCATCCTATGCCTGCGGCTCCGAAGGAAAAGATCGGGCGTCAACACGAAGTTGGAAAGCAACGATCGACCGAGAAGACCTGGCCTTCGAAGCCGCCATTCTGCCCCTAATGGGTACCCCAATAACGCATACGGAATGCAGGAGTTCTCGCCGATCTACCCGGACGAGTCGGCGTCTTGCTACTACCCAGAAGCGTCCCGCGAAGCATTGAGAGCTTACGCGACAGACTTTGCCATGGCGGACAGGCAAATATGGACGGACCATGTACCGAGCCGTTCGCCTGAAACCACCAACACTGCCACCGGCAGTACCGAGAGCTTGAGAAATCCATCCAGCTGGCTCGGACATAATAAGACATGATTTCGCGGGTGCAAATAGACGGTCATTCGCTAGTATACCCAAAGCAGACCTGCATAGATAAACATAGAATCCTTAATAAAACCCATCTAGAGTACTGCTGTTCGTTCATCACTCCGTCACGAGTTTAGTGGCAGAGCCACCAGGTATCAGGGGCGTAGCTGAATCGATAGGGGCGTAGCGACCAGGACAAAGGGCGCTTCAGTACTGGATCCAGAACTTGCTCGTGGCCACTAGTTCGTGGATGGGACTCCTCGTGCTCTCATGCTTGCATCGTGACGATTGTATTGAATTTCCAACAGTTTAATGACTAGTCCAGATTCGTGGCAATGGGTGGTGCTGAAGTGTCAAATTTCGTAGGCAAGGGGCTAGGCGCTGGTGCCCTACATGCCAAATCCATAGATTCGACAGTAGTATCAGCTGTCAACTCATCGCCTTCAAAAGAAAACGCGAGGAAGATACGCTTAGCAAATAGAACATATCCCAACTAGCAGATTAGGGCTGAAGTGGTGCACCGAGTGGGTGCCTTTGTTAGCACGGACGCGTCAATGGACGTGTATCCCCCTCCTCCAACGCTGTTTACGTAGGTACCTAAGTTAGGTACTTAGCTAGTTGTTAGCTTGCAAGCATTCATCCGAGGATCTGGAACAACCAGGCACCGAAGAAAGAAGGGAGGAATAAGAGGGTCCCATAGCTCAGTTGGTTTAGAGCGTCGTACTAATAATGCGAAGGCCGAGAGTTCGAGCCTCTCTGGGACCATCCACTTGCTTTTTACTACTGCTGCAGCAGGAGTTTTAGTGATGATGTTTTTTATCGGCTAGAAGAAAAGTTTGATACCAACAGCGTAAAACCTAGAAAGTCGTCTTCTTTGTTAGCGTGACCATTCATAGAAGTGTAGTGCTTGGACAATGTAGGCAAGTACCTCGTCAGCGAAGATGTAAGGACACATGAGATAGAAAATAAACGACAGAAGAGAAGAGTCCAAGTCAAGCCAAGTCACTTAGCCATCAAACTGAGAGTATAAGAGTTCATTTCATCAGCTTCATTCCATATGTATGGCCGAGGACTTATACTACCCCAGTCCTATGCATCCGCAGAGCCTTCCTACCAACCGCGCGCGATGCCAAACTATGCTACAGAGACCAGAAGCCGTGAGAGAAAAATCATGACCGTACCATGGCCGTCGAAAAGAGGTGAGAGAGCTTTTGCCATATCCGCGTTCCTCGTGAGTTTTCCCCTAGCAGACACGCGAGAAGCGCGCGCAGAAGAAATGTAGCAGGCCAGTCAACGGGATTGATTACTTCGTATTCGAATACGGAATCCCGAGGATGCTTGCAAGCATGTGCGCATGAGGTGAGAAGGGCGTTTTGTGTACAAGATGATATTGCGCGTAGACGACGATCAAGTATGCTGCGGGTTTCCAGGCGTAGATGTTGACGTAGACGGGGACAAGGCAGATCTGATCAAGTCGCAAAGCAGCTCTACAGGGCAGGTTTCACCTCGTTGCCGAGGGCAGACCCGACCTGCTGAGCGGTTGACGAGCCACCACTACCATCCTTAGTCAAGATCTGGCGTCATATGTTAGCGATCGTCTTGAATATATGCGGCACGGTAAACTTACGTCGCCGCCCATTTCTCGCATCTTCATCTCTTTCTCCATCTCGATGACCTGCTGCTCCTCGGCCCACGAGAGAGCCCACGGGACACCGAGGATCAATGCCGATGTGCTGATTACCCAGAGAGTCTTGCCGCCGAAGGAGAGGACACTCTTCACAGCACCCGCGGTCGCATTGACCTTGTTCGCGATTGACGTACGAGTCTGGGGGGGTATAATGTCTCGGAGGGCGTACAGACGGTCGGCTAGGGTCTCGTTGGCGGGGTCGAAGTCGGACTCGTTGGAAATCTCGGAATCTGTATTCATTGAATTTAGTTAGACCACATCAAGTGAAACAATTGCGAAGAGGCCACGACGTACCGGTATCAGTGAAATCATCGTCGTCCTCGGGACCAGCCTGTTCCTCCTGGAAATGCTCGTCCACAACCTCGGTAAGCTGCACCATCTTGTAATGTTGGACTCCAAGGATATATGTGACTCTGTATAAAAAACCGTGTTCGGGCGAAAAAGTCAAAGCTAGGGGATTCTGATCGTGGTGCCACAGCTTTCTCAGGAGGGTTTGCAAAAAATATTTAATCCAGATTTTGCCTTCTAGTCAAGATAGGCCTGATAAAGGTGTTCTCCATTTTTCAGAAGCTTAGAGAGAGTCAGCATTAAAAGTACAGTCTGCCGATGTTTGTGGGAGAAATTCAAAATTGGCTTAATAAGAGCACTACAGTACCTACCTACCTGACTATCTTAGTCGACTGTCATTATAACGCTACCTACCTTATGACGACACTCCACATTAACATTCCAAAAACACCAGAAAATTTTGTGTCATGCTTTGTCAATTGGAGATACAAATTATTTACTCTTTATTACATGAGGAATCTGTTGTAACTTGAAGAATATTATGGAAAACTCAAAGGAATGCATTTAATCGGTAACGATGCTGGGTCATGAAAGCATTGCAGCATATGCACATACTATGAACGCTCAGGAATTGGTACGATCACCTCATAATGCTAATTGTAAAAACTCAACGCACTGAACAAAACCTAGCACAAAAGCATCCATTAGTAAATCAAAACGTGCTCTTATATAATAATATGACAAGCTCCCTACTTGTATATTCTCCCATCATGTACATAAAAAGCCAGAGACCACCTCGGTGGCCGATGCCCATACACTATTAACAGTTCGCACCATCATCAAGTCCTCGTATGTATACCATTACACCCTGAAACGCATATCATATTCGTCGACACCTAGACAGAACATAATCACATCCGGCTCTAAACCAGGAATAATATTTACTCTACTTCGTGCATATAAGTAAACTCTACTCGCCTCCCTTTTCGTCGTCGTCTCCAGTATATCGTTAAATAAGGTAAAAAGCAGAAAAAAAAAACATGCATTATCGCTGGTGCGTTGCGGCATCCTAGCCCTTGGTCGGCGGGGAATCGTCGGCGAACCTGATCCCTCGTCGCGCGGGCGGTACTCTAGGGGTATCATCGTCATCGCTGTCTTCGCCTGCGTCGCTGTCTACGCCCAGCGCCGCCTCCCGCCTCCTACGCTCCGCCGGCGTCTCTCTTGCTTCGTTGTCCTCGCGAACGCTAGCGAAAGCCGCAAGTCTCCGCCGTCTCTCCGCAGCCGTCTCTTCCGTGTTCGAAGTCGGGGGTTGCTCCGCGCTCACTGCTGGACTGCGTCCGCGAGCAGGCTCGGCGGATCGGGAAGGAGACATGCTCGCTTCTCGAGTGCCGTCGCTCGCCTGAGTCACGCTGATTTTGGGGTGGACGAGAGCTTCAACTCGGGATGGGCTCGGTTCGGGGTCCTCTTTTGCTATCGATTTTACTGCCGGGGGAGCAGTGGACTGATCCACAACCTCGCGGCGAGTCCGAACATCCAACTTCTGTACCTCTTTCAGGAAATCGTCCTTGGTCATCCGACGTCCAATACCACCGATCGTAAATCGGATTCCACGGTCATCAACTGTGCCTGACTCGGTAGGTGGCGTAGCGTCCTTCCTTCTCTGATCAGCGGCACCACCGCCACCACCGCCACGACTGAAGCCTGGCCATACACCGGTTTTCGTTTTCGTCTTAGCTTCAGGTTTAGAGCTACTAGCTGGAGCAGCCTCTTTTTCGGATGGCTCTTCGGTCTTGGGCGCCGCTTTATCGGTTGGTTTGACAAGACCACCCATTCCCATGTATTTCAAACTTGAGGCAACATAGTCTTTCCCATCGCGACTTTCAGCGGGTAAGTCGTATTTCCTCACAACCTCACCATCCTGATCCTCGACAATAATCTGCACGATAAAGTTAGCCATATGCGCTTAATATTCATCTTGTGATGTGCTGTGCTTACTGTATTGCCGAACTGATATGCTCTCGCCGGCTCATGCTTCCGGTCAATCTTCCCCTTGTCTTTGCGCTTTTGGGATTCCTCGTCTCGCCATTTCCCGATACTCTTCTTGAGCGAGTCGTATGTCCATCCAGGCTTCTGGGTCTCATGTTTCGCCTTCTCCTTTACTTGGTTCACATCGTGATGGGTTGGCTGGTGTCCAGTTTTCTCGACAGCAAGCACTCGATCGTCCTGGTCCTCGACTATGATGTGGTCACCCTCGTCATACACTTCAAGCTGGTCGTGTCGCCGCTCGCCCTTAGACGACGGCTCACGATCTGCCTCAATTTCCCGTTCGCGTTCTGTCGCTATATCAATCGCCTTCTCGATATCATTTTCGCTTTCTTTCTCACGGAGCTCTTCTGACGGTGAGCTGGGGCTCTCTTGCCGAGGAGACATGGGTGACACGGATTCAGATGGTGACATAGGTTCGCTCATACTCCTACGTTGAGGGAAAATGGCGGACTGGCTCACAGGCCCGCCAGGTCCAATGCCATCATCCCACTTCTTCCTGCTACGGCGCCGAGATGAAGCACGACTTCCTGCTCTGCTTGGGTTTTCCTCCTCACGCTGGCGACGCAAGAACTGTCCGGGCATTCCTGTAGGAGGCAATGTACCAGGTGGAAATTCGGGTGACTTCATCTCCTCATAATCAGTATCTGACATGGTCCGAGCTTGTGATCGAGATTGTGACGAGATTCGTGGCAAACGGCTCATCCAAGCGGGACCCTCTTCCGGGGCTGTGGTAAATGACATAGTTAGAGTTAGAGTGTTGATGCGCTTGCCGAGTGTAAACACGGCCACCGAAGAACCGTGGACGAGGATGGAGGCGATCACCATGAAAGTAACAATGGGCCAGACAATAAGAATGAGGTGATGAAACTCATTTTCGCCTGGGTCTGGAAGCTCTGCTTCTGGGATGGGGTTCTCGCTCTCTAGCTCGCCGCGGGCGAGTAGGGCGACAAATATCGCGCCTACACCAATAGGACCGAAATGACCAGCAAACAAGGCCTCGCGCCAGGTTTTGACGTCGGGAATAACTGGCTTGAGCATCATCATGATCGGAATTCGACGGAACAAGATGACGAAGATAGCCATAACCGACAATCTCCAAGCGCCCAGACCAATGTCAGCGTTGTTATACATTTCCCAGGGAATAATAGTGCCGAGGAAGACAAAGTAAGCCAAGTTGATCAACAAGTCGATAACGTTGGACACGTGGGATTCCTCCGTCTTTTCACTGAACCAACCGTCGTTCGAGAAACCCACACCTGCAGCAAATCCGACTAGCAAGTCATCGACCCCTAGAATACTGCCTGAACCAGCACAGAAAAGCGCCAAGGTAAAGTAGAAGACGAGGAAGCTTTCCCGATCGATTAAATCACGCTTTTCCGCAAATTTGATGCCGTGTCGTGCAATATACCCAATCAAAAAACCGTAGACGGCGCCGAAGATACACTCGTAGAGAACCGTGTAAACAAGCCAGTGGTACGTTGTCTCCTTCGCGTCCAGATGATCCTGAAGTAGGTAGATGGAAAGGTAGATAAAGGGGAAAGCCATGCCGTCGTTGCAACCGGACTCGGCGGAGAGCAGATCTCTCAAGTGCTTCGGTACCCGCTTCGCAAACTTGCCCTTACCCACGACCGAAGAGGCCAGGACAGGATCTGTAGCTGTGACACAAGCCGCAACCACCAAGCTCTCGAGCCATGATAGCGACGGGAATAACCACCAGACAATCAGACTTGTAATTAGCCACCCA